GGAGGCATATAAAAAAAATCAAATTATATTTTTCACTTAGATTTTAATCAACTTAACGGAGACTTCAATATTTTATTTCTCTGAATTTCTTTTTGTAATTATTATAAAAAAAAGTGCTTTTTTAATATACAGTGTGTTGCAGAAATTTTGATGCCTAAGCTCTAAAATTTAATTTGTTAAACAGTTTGAAATTTGTTTAGCCAATTATAAGAGAAAATATGATTTGAAATCAAACGCTCAATATGAATAAGAAACTAAAACTTAAAACGTCCGTTTGTATGATTCGTTTACAAGATTTTCTGTAAATGAAATTACATTAACATTACTTCTTAACATGAAAGTTTAGTTTGTTCTATATAATCAGAAAGTTCATAGGAAAAATTTATATAATACTATTACTTACAGAGCTACTGTCTGCCAAGCCTTTCAACTTATTTGAATTCATTAGTGAAGTGAGTCCTAAGGGGTATTGTAGAATATATGCAACACCTATAGGGGGGTGCAATAGATCCTCATATGCAATTATTCTCATATGTATAATTTGCAATATATGGCACTGACATCATTGACTAATAATTTAAAAATACTATGCTTGTCTAAACCATAAAACTGATTTAAAGAATCAAATTTGATTCATGTTCAATTTTGCTCTTATTAAATATACATGCGTATCACAAATAAATCGAATATTTCTGTCTACTTCCAATAAAAGAGTGAGGATTCCAATAACTCCCGAATAGAGAAACAGGGTAGCTTTAAGAAATTAATAAATTGAAATTTTTTTAATAGCTTCAAATGAAAATTAATACATTAAGCCATTGCGGGCAATTTTTAAATTAAATTAGCTTAGCACTTGTGTTAAAATTCGTATTGAATACCCGAAATCGACCTTGACCTAAAATATATTTTATTTACTTCTTTAATAAACCTCGTAAAAAAAACTCAATTCGATCTCTTAATAAAAGAAGCCAAAATATTCTCTTTAAATTTCAGATATCTAATTAAATTTATTTATCTTTTTTTTTTTTGTTATTTTATTTAAGAATCTTTTCTCTTTATATTTTTTGATATCTTTATTATTTCCAATTTTTTTTTTTATATTGAATTTATCGAAATATAAAATTGATTGATTTTCAGAGCAAATTATTATTGTTTTTCATTTTTATTGTATAGAGAACGATTTTTGATCTTTAAGAAATCTTTTAAGATCCTTCTTATTAATAGAATAAATGCTTTAAGAATATAGTAAGAGTACAGTATGGCGTATATAGCTTTATCCTTTTGGAAATAAATAAAATTTTTTAGGGAAAGAATTGAATATTTTTGGTAGTTAAAGAATTTTTTCGTGGTAAAAACAAAAACAAGTAGAGAAGAACAATAAATAAACAAGAATTAGTAATGTACTTTTCTCTTTTGTCTTGTTTAATATGTAAAAGGATAATAGGGATAAATTGAAGATCTGAAATTTGAACTTAAATAAGGATATTTTTTGTTTTTCTTCTTTTGTCTTAGATTTTGTTATTTTGGTAAATTGATACCATTTTATTAGAAATATAGATAATAAAACAAAATATCCTTAAAAAAAACAAGAAAAATATTTTTTGCTGTTGTTTTCTTTGATTAACAAAATTCAATAACAAAAATATTATGTTTTTAAAATTAGAGTTATAGAATTTCCGTTCTTAGAAATTATAAACTTTGAAATCTTTGTAATAAGTTTTAAATTCGGAATAATTTATTGGGTGCGAACGTACCTAAATTTCAAATATTGAAAATGTATTACGAATATTTTGCTTCTCATTTCATATTGAATTCAACAAACAATAGACAGACTGAATAGACAGACTGAAAGGCTTAAAGATTTTAATCTCATTAGTTATTTTTAACCAAGAATTTATCATTCATTAAATATTTGTTTTGCTTTAAAGAAAGCTTTGAGGATTTACATTTTGTCTAAGAATGCAACTTGTTGTAATACTCGTAATAATCTTTTTTTTTTTTAAGAATAATCTTCTTGAAATTCTAAAATAATTCTCCGTCTGGAATACTACAATGGATTATGATATTGCCTATACTTTAAGGGATTGAATATGATTGATTTATACTTAAAATATAATAAAAATATGAATGGTATATCGCCTCCAGTAAATAAATTATTTCGTCGTTGTATAATTAATCCTTTTTCAATATAAAAATTTTTTATATAATTGAATATTTTGGTAAATCTTTGGCTATCCAGTATTGATAAATATTTTAATAAAATATTTAATTTATGTAATGCTTTATAAAGCATTAAAATTTAATAATTGTGAAAAATAAAAGAAATTTTTTATTGAAGAGGGGCTAAAATGGCAGATAATAGAAAAACCATAGAGAATTAATCAAAATACTAAAGCAATTGCTTGGAAATGCGAATGATGTGCATTTAAAAGTTGAAGATATTTGAATAAAAAATTGTTGAAACCTTGTAGCGATGACAAGAATATTGATTTGATACGGTCGTGGACCTTTCTCTTACTACTACTACTGGTACTACATATAAATATTATATGACATTAAAGTACATCAATCCTAAAACATGAAAAACACTAAAATTAATAATGTAAAAATCTACGACTTCTACATTTTATTGTATAAGCAGTAAATAAAGGTGAGAGCCGCAATTTTAACTAATTTTTAAAAAATTTAAAGACTTACAATACTTTCATATTATTCATTCAATATTTAAGATACATTCCGCAAAAAACTAATAAATAGGACAAGACATGTTGCACAATACTTTTCTTTCGAAAGGTCTTTCTTTCCAAAGAACCTAAAAAGGGACAACAAAGAAGATGCATTTAAAAATAACGTTGATACTTACCTATTTATTTAAAGAAAGTATTTCTGAAATTCCTTTTTTTGTCCATATCTTCTGTTTTCATTATTATAATCCTTCCGTTCCTTCAATTTTTAATAAATAATTGCAATGCATTGCTTCTGATCTGATATTTCTTAATAATTTAAATATTATTTTATAGCATTGTAAAAATAAAAGAAAATATTTGTATATTTTAAAAATTTAATTTTTTGATGTTGACAAGTTGAAACATGAATAAATTATGAAAAATATGTGCTGCTATGACCAAGTACTTTTCAGCAACATTTTCAGCAACATTTCGAAAATACACAATCAACAACATTTAAATAAAATTTGCAACATTCAACTAAGTATGTGCTTTAACAATAAATCTTACACAAATTTCCAATAATCATTGGATATGTTTCCAATTGTATGTTTGCGGCAATAACATGATTGTACTAATCATGAAAATACGATATGGTGTAATTATTATTCACCACAATAGTACATTGTTATATGTTTTATATTGTTAGTACTTTTTAATCAATACAATGAAAGCTGATAAGCAATATTGCAATCAATAACTAGTACGCCTATACAGACTGGTCCAAAAAGGTATGCATACATATGTCAAAACAAAGTATATCACTTGTTAGAGGCCTTTAAAACCATGAAAGATTTTGCAACGTTTGATGGCTTAAATTAAAGCTTAAGAAGCTCAGCAAAATTCTGTAAAAAATTTAAAGTTTCTAAAAATTTCATACAAAATTTTCTGAATCAACAAATACAAAATCGAAAAATTTCGAAAACTTTAGCAAAATTTCAAATAAGAAATAATTTTCATTGCTTCAAATATCACAAAAATTTTCACCTTGTATGCAAATTATATAATCATGATTACATGCTTTTAAAATATAAATTTTGAAGACAGTACCTAATAATAAAAGGATAATAATAATTTTTTTAATAAAGATTCATAGTTAATTATAAATGAAATTATGCTATTTTGTTATAATGGAATATTTTCTTCATAAAAACATTAATTAAAATATTATAATTTAAATACAAAATTAAGTAATTAAATTCTGTTTCTGGTTGTGCTTTAAAATTATTAAAGAAATATTAAAAGAAAATTATTATAAATAGAAGATTTTTATAATAAAAGTGAATTTGTAATTATCGTACAAGTTTTTAAACAGATTTAGAATTAGTTGTAACAATTTGAATTTAAATAATATTACACAATGTTACATTGAAATATAAAGGCAAGTACCTACCTATATTATGGAGAACTTGTAATTATCATGATTTCTTGAAAATTGCCATGATTGCTATGAATAAGCGTATATAAAATATGTAAATGGTACTGAAAAATAAAATTAGGATGTATTTCGAATTATTCTTTGACTGTTTGCCACATTTATTATATAAATTTGAACTATTAATCTTACTTAAAATAGTTAAATGTGGAAATATTGAATTTCTCAAAGATTTAAGAGCTTGCTGTGCTTGTAAAATTTTAATCACCATGACCTATCTGCCCCCTTGCCGATATATCAATTCCATTCTGTGTCCTACTGTGGCCTACTATCTGGTGCTACATTTATTTGACACTATGTTTATTGAATATGGCAAATTTCAAAATTTTAAGTTTTGGAAAATAAAATTTAACAATATATTTATTTACATTTATTTTGCTTAATCAACTAAATTTTTATAATCAATAATTATAATGGTTATGTCGGTTCACAATAATTGTAAAATTTATGCTTTATTTACAATTTGTTTCGCTTCCCGTTTCTCTATATACGAGTAACAAGTGAAATGGTTTGCTGAGTAGGAACAATGTTTAAATCTTAAACTATACCATGCAAGTAAAAATCTTCTGCATTTAAAATAGGCATTTATAAATATTATAGGGGGCCATCTTTGTATACCAGAAGATAACTATGTATGATTTTCTAACTCTTAAAGATATTTTTCTTAAAAACATTTTCAAATGAATGTTTTGTTATAACAAGAAAAAGAAAATTATTTAATCATTTTTATTCCTTATTAAATTTTAATATCAATTTTCTTTAGCCATAATATTTTGGTTAGAAATATTGTTAATCCTTGAAACATTTATTTATTTATTTTTTTTTTCTTTTATCTATAGGAACCCGCCATCAATTTAAATACCTTTGACTGTCACGCATCATAACCTTTAGGTAAGTTATTTAATTTATTTATTTATTTATTTTTTTATTATACTGAAAAGCAAAAAAAAAAATTGCTTTAGGCATTTTCATGTAAAATTAATGTATGTAAATAAAATGTATGTGTACGAGTATGTGAAGAGATGATGTTCAAATTGTGTGTGCAAGGTTTAGGTTGACATACATATGAACCAGTTCAAAATACAAATTCATAAGCTATCAACACATAGGTACTCATACTCCCAGTGTTACTCGCACATCTATAATTTTATTTTCATTCTCTTGTTTTTGATTTTTCAAGAATATTTTGTGTGTTTTCTTTTTTTTTTTGGTTTTGCGATATAACAAGGATCCTTGTATCAATTTCATAATTTTTTTAACTGTTATAATAAATAAAGCAAAAATTTTTATAATATATTCGAATCAAGGTAATGTATTGCAACGTAGTACAATTTCCCTAGCGCTATTTTACGGCATACTTTCAGGAGGGAATGCAAAATTCAAAGAAATCTTAACTCCAAAGCTCGAGTTCAACGGCGAATTGAGTTAGTAAACGAGAACTATTATGACATTTACAATATGTATGTATATTATTTGAGAAAATATGATATACGCGATTTTTTCACAGTGAGTTGCTACAAATATTATTTTAGAGCAAGGGGGAAGAAAAGAGGAATGTTCCTTTAAGGAGAGGAGAGAAGTTTAAAATATTGTTCTAAGGAAGTAGGTTTTTGATTAAGATCAAAGTTCAATTTTCTCTCTCAATGTGTAACGGTTTTGTGAACAGATTTACAAACTTTGTATAACTAATAAGCACATTTTTTCTTAATATTGTTTAGAATCTACTAAAATAATAACAGTAGTCAACACGAATTCAAACAAATTGATGGTATATAGGCATAAAATTTTTTATCCTAAATCAGATTGTACGATACGAATGGGATGATTGTATTGTATTGTGTATATTGGTACGTGTATTTCTTACGGTATTCGTGTACGTAATATATAAATGAATAGAAACATAAATTTATTGATTTTATTAAAACAGTTGACTTTTATATGCTTAGGCATAGGTAGAAACATTCATTTTTTACTTTTATTATAATTTTATTTTTGAATATGCCGAAAACTATTATAGTACTTGTATATCGAAATATCGAAAACAATAATTGAAATAGAAATAAAATTTAGAGGTTATGAAGGAAATATCTGGAATATAAAAATATTAAAAGGGGAAATTGTATTGATTTTTGATGTAAAGGTTTTGACTTTTTTGTATGAAAGTCAAATTTATTAAAGAATATTTTCTGTATGAATTGATAAAATTAATATTATTACCATGGTAATTCCAAACTGTTGGGGCTAAAGATATCCAAGTGGATTGACTATTAAGTTGGCTACTTTATATTTACGGTTTAAAAACTTTTTACAGTCAAATGAGTCATTTTCAATTTTTATGTAAGAAAAAGGGAAAATTTATAATTATAACCTTGGAAGATAGTTGAATCAACATCATAAAGATTTTCATGTGTACTAATTTTAAATAAAGACAAAAAATTATAAAAAAAAAAATATGACTTTCTTGTTTTTTATATTCTACTCCTTCCGTATTCATATTTGATTCATTAAATTCATTCAAGTTTTATGAGGCAGTTTGATGCATATGATGCAATTTCAAAGAAAATTATATAAAATGAAATTACGAATAATAAAAAATCAAAAGATTTCCTTTTTTTTATTCTATAATTAATTAAATTTCCTGTACGGTAGACTGAAGGGAAGAAAATTACTTCATAACATATTCTGGATTAAATATAACTGACGATCTCGTTTTAGGTGCATGTGATGGAAGACGTTACAGCAACCAATTCAAGTATATAACACATGTTATAGTGTACGAACCGTAAGCTTGTGCTGGTTGATTTATTTGAAAAGAAAATTCACTAAAAGCTCCTGAAAATATGTTGATTATTATTTTACTGTTTGTCGAAAGGCGAGATATAATTAAAGCATATAATTATAATTCAAAGTTTCCGCGACTTTAATTCATATTATATAATTATAATCTGGAAAATCTCTGGAAGTTTTAGGAAGCTAACACGTATAAATTTTAGAAATGTAGATTGGGATTCGATCTACAAAGCTCCGAATGTTCTTTGTTCATAAATGGGATGTAGACCAAAACGCAAATCTAACATCAATTTGATTTATTCAATAGTATAATTTCAATTACTAAATAACTCAATATATAGTTTCAATCTCATTTCCTCAAAATTTTCGTAGAATAACGTACCTATAAAATATATGAGCAATATAACATCAAAAATTTTATGTTACCTTTGTCGAGGTCCTCATTTTCTACCTTGATTTCATTTCTTTTACGAGCGTTACATGATGTTATAAAAGAGAAAAAAAAAATTAATTACTTTCTTTCTTTAATATTAAAAAAAAGATTTTCTACAAAATATATGAAAAATATAGAATTAATTAAAATATAAGAAAAACTTCATCTTCCTTAAAGAATATTTTTTGTACTGATATTCTACTACTACGAGTACTACTCAATAAGCATTCTGCTCTCTAAAACTTTGAATAATTTTTATATATAATTTTTAATATTTCATATTAAATTTATTATAATCACCTTAAAATATTTAAACTTTATATTATATAAACCTTTAAATGCTACTGCAAATCATAATTAAAGTATATAAAAAAACCTTCATTATATAATATTGTTGGCGGCTATTTAGCCTATCTACACATAGGTATAAATATATAGTAAAAATGTCTGTATGAATCAAGGATAATAACATTAAATTAACAGACATTTATGTGCATAGCAAATTAGCACAAAAAAAAAAAACCTTAACACTAATGAGCCATAATTTCAGTTTTCATGTGCACATAAAAAAGTACTTTTTTTTATTGTGTATACATTCCAAGATAACCGATATATTTTTGGGTATATATACAAACATCTATAAACAATAGTACACATGAGAAATTCAAATAAGAATTAGAAGAGGGGAGAAACAAGAGAATTTTATAAATTATAATAAAAATTTGTGTTTAATTAATCTTTTGCGTGAACAGAGAAAGAAAAATTCTCATCTTTGCATTTAAAAGAAAACCAACAAACACCATAAGAGCCACAAAACATCTTTTATTACTTTTTGCATAATAAATTTTACCATTACAATCTACTTTGGTTTTATACTAAAAATACACGTTTTTCTATTATGTCGTTGTGATTTTCTGCATAACATCCTTCCAAAAATTTTAGTTGTTATATTGTGGTTATATAAACTATGGTATATAGCAATAGTAGAAAGTATTAGTAATTGTTAACTGGAACTTTTGCTTTTATAAGAACCACCAAAAATGATAGTAAAACTCTTTCTTAATGCAAAATTTCATAAAATTAGATTTTGTAAATATGCACACATACTCACTTTTATGTAATAATTATTAATATAATGATAACTCAAGGATAATGAGTAATATAATAAAAAATTTCTTTAAATATTACTAAAACAGGAAATTAAATCTTTGAATTTATTAAAAAATAGGTACAGACTAATTAATTTTGGCTCATTTATTAATAAAACCACTTTATACATACATTTTTTATAGTCAGCCGACAATTAAGCCGGTTTATTTGCATCAAATTAAGTAAGTCTCTTTCTGCAATTCGCCAACAGAAAAGTATGAATAGACTAACGGATGTTTTACCAAAAAATGGCTCCAGTCTAAAGTTTTATGATCTATTTTTTTGTGATATTAATGGGTGATATATGAATTCTCTTCATAATTGGTGATTTTCAATATGATCCAACATCATTAAAACTTCGAATTTGATATGGACAACTTTGGTTATTTATTCCGAAGTAATTTTGAACACCGGGACTAAAAGGGATGAATAGCTTGAATACTATGGCGTCGAACTGAGTGTTGAAATTAACCTCACCAGGGATCAGTCAAATTAAGTCATCAACTGCATAAGTTAATTAGAGAGTAACCACCGATTAGAAATGAAAACTTAGTCTTGAGGATAATGAGGCTGCGGAGCACGTTCTTTGCGACTTTAAAATAAATACTGCAAGACAGGAGATTGGTAGAACTGCAAAAGCGGATGTAGTACTTTTACTCGCGAATATAGAAAAGATTTCTTATCAGAACTTTCAACTAAAAATTCATTTATACAATAAATGCGTAAAAAGAAATACCGAATACAAAAAAATATTTTTTAATAAAAAACCATTTAGAACACTTCAATTATAGTTTTTATTTTGTTTAATTTCTTATGAAGAACGCATGTTGTAAAAAATTTAGACATCTTGACTTAAATTATGGTAATACGAGTATAATAAATTTTGAGAATAACCTAAACTTAAAACGCCTTCTGATTTATAAAATTATTTAGAGGAATCTACAAAATATTTGCATATGTAGGACAAAATTATTATACAATTATATATTGTATAAAATAGAGTGTGTTCATAAATTTTGAGAGAAAGAGAAAGAAAATGATTAAATATTTTATTTTTGTAACAATTAGAACAAGGATTTTCTCATCTTCTTTTTCATATTCTCTTTATTCTATATATATAACATTATTCGCACACTAATTCTCACAATTTTCTTAATATTTATCACCTCCACCACTAGTAGTATATATTTAAACTTCAGTAAGTATGAGTTACATAGTTAACGGGTACTGTGGTGAAGTAGATTATGGTGTGTCAAATATTTTTTTGTTAAATTATTTTAATTGCAGAACATAAAGTATGTTGAAAAGTTTATTATTTATGTGCCTGTTTGCTAATAAAATAAAGATTTTTGTATGAGTAATTCCTGTATATTTTATGTGCATGGAAAATATTGTGGAAAAGGTGAAAATGTTTTCAGTTTTTATGGAAACGCGTGTAACTTTTTCATGATGTGTAAACTCATAGTTTGAGAGGTATTTATATTGTAGATGTGTGTGTGCTTGCATGTGTATAAGTGAT